TACCCACTCGAAAAACAGATATTTAAAAACATATATATTATAATGAAAACATACACAACTATACGGGTCTAATATTTATGTATATTTTATCTAATAATAAGATAAACTGGTTGTCTTTTTAATGGCTAATATAAATACAGAATCATATTTACTTTAAAATTATTTATATTATACACTAAATGTAGCATGAATATATTTTGTAATATATTACATATCCTGCCTCAAATATACAGCATGATGACTAAATCAATTGGGCAAACTAAATTTTAAATTTATTTTATTATACTAAATAATTTATTCGGTTACCCTTTCAATATTTATAAAGTATATAAAGAGCCATTTTATCCAGAGTTAACCAAATTATCAGTATAAAAAATCTTCGCTATACAAGATACGTTTTTCATTCATTCTTATAGTTTTGCCATTAAAAATCCTCGTTCTTCAAAATTCAATTTTCAAGCATAAATCCTCCCACCCAGAATGCCTAAAACTACTATCCACCCTTGTATATACAGAGATAAAAAAGGATTTATCTCTAGTATTTTGATTAGAGGAAATATTACTGCAAAATTCAAATTTAATAAAAAACAAATTATCAAAACATCAGATAATCAAATAGAAGCAAGGTTTGCTTTAGTTTTATTACAACATTCTGAAGAAAAAACAGAAGTTATAACTTTCAATCTCAAGAACGTAATTTACAACAAATTAGGCAAGAATTTAACTGTGACAGCTACAAAAGGAATAATTAAATTCCACAGTCATAAAATCAGAGAAAAAATTACAAACCTGACTTTAAATTTAGAATAAACATTAGTCTTCTTAATTAATAATTTTAATATTTTTTTTATAAAAAATTATTTCGTTTCCTAAAATTCAAATTCAAATGTGATTTATTGAAAAAAATTTCATTTTTAACAAATTATTAATGCGACAATTAAGTATTACTTTTGAATCGAATATTAGAATTCAAATTTTGATATTTTTAATTTTACAGATGCAAATTCAGAAATAATATATTTATATGATATGAACTAATAAAATCCAAATTGAAAATCTACAAAGTTTTTATTAGTGAAAGTAGTATAAGTTTAGATACACTTGTGCAATTTGTATTAGTAATGTACATACGTTAAATGTCATAATACATGGTCTTTTGGTCTAAATGGTTTAATTGCGTAAAACCTTATTTTGTATTAGTAATATAATTTGAATAATATTTTAAATGCTACATCATTAGTAGTAAGACAAAGAAAAATTGTTACATTAAAAGTCTTCTTTTGTTTGAATAATAATTTTTGTAATTAGAGTTCTTATGTGAAAAATGTAGCAGTATTGCGCAAACAGATTGGTCACATGAGTGTCGCTGTATCAAATTTTCATGATTACATGATTTGTCTAATTCTTCGTTTCTGGAAAATTTGCTGGAGGTGTTACCTATTCCATATTTATTTTATTGTATAAATTTTAGTTTGTAAATTCTTAATATTTTTAATTGATCAGATGTATTGTTTTGTAATATCTTATTACATATCTCTAAAAAATTAAATTAATAAAATAAATTTACTTTAAATATAACTGATAATCAAAAAAAAATACGAACCCGTAAGCCGTTAAGTCATGTGATTTATTAGAATTAATCGTTAATATAAAGGCAATTTTTAACTTATATTTTTTGCTATCCAAATTAGCTTTATGTAAAGCTTCTATAGTAATATCCAATAATAAGATAAACTAATTAAAATTATTTAAGTTTTATACAACTTATATACTTAAGTATATTCAAGGATCAACAACCAATCAGATGGATTTTTAATCATATAGCACAGTGATCTTCGAAATCTTCGACCCTATTTTGTTCGAAAGGATATGTTTGAACAAAGGAAATACTTATATTAATTCTTAGTCAAAAAAAACGCACACGTGGGTCCATTAAGTCATGTGATTTATTATGATACTTTTAAGGGCATTCCCGAATACTTGTCTAAAGTCTTAAAAGATAATTCTGTTGGTGAAAAGATTGATAAGATGATGATTGAGATTTACGAACGTCAGGAAAGATTATACGTAAAATTAAAAATGATCTAATCAAAGATGAAAATTGTAATTTCTGTATTAGTTAACATTTAATTTCTTAATGCTGGCTAAATCGAAAAATCTTCAAAATTTTTTGCCAGCTTTAGCTTTTGACCTAAAACTAAACTTTCTCAATTTAATGCTAGAGAAGATGATTTTTTTAATTAATTTTTTAG